TTTAGCCAGCATTACAAGTATGGATATAGTTTTTTATAACTGCATGCATTTAAGATTAATAATTCTTATTGTAGATTTTGTTAAACATAATTTCTTTTCTGAAGTGACTCCTGAGTAGATATAAATACATTACATAATTTCTTTTCTGAAGTGACTCCTGAGTAGATGTAAATGCATTAAGAATAGAATTGGTTTAATTTGATGTTTTTGAATCATTTGTAATAAACTGTTATTCTTATATTTATTTTTCTTTTAGATTAGCCTCCTTATTACTACAAAGAATTTACTTTAAGACTGTAGACTATGGCATTATTTAGAAATAAGTTTGTTACTAATTTATGTTTGGTTATATAGACCTTTAATTGTTAATATCTTAGAGGCTCCATTATTTTGTATTTGCCAAAGCACCAACTACCTAGTTTGGATTGCATTTTCTGTCAGTTTTTTTTTTTTTAACTTTTTGATATTAGTATATAGAATAAAGCATTTATATTAAAGTGTTTATGACCAGGTCTATGCATTATTGTATAGTTAAAAGTTGTAGTCTTAAAATCTAATGCACCTTTTTTTCTTTTAATTTTGATATGTTTAATTATTTAAGAACAGCATAATCTGTAATTAAAATGAAATGTTTGGCTTTTAAGTAATAATGAAAATGTTTTATAACCCAGATCACTGCTAAACACTCAAGTTCTGAAGCTGAGTAATTTTTTTTAGGCTTTTTTAGTCTTTTGCTTATATATGCTACTATATATTTATTATAATTTTCATTTTTTTGTGCTAACACTGCTTCTAAACCAGTACTAAAAGCATTAGTATATAGATAAAAAGTCTTTTTAAATTTTGGAATTTTAGAACTAGGACTATTATTAAGTGTTTTTTTAAAACTTCAAAAGCCTATTGTCTTTTTTAATTCATTCATAAACTGTATCTTTCTCTAACAGTTTATATAGTAGGCATACTATTTTTGTAAAGTTTTAAATAAAATATCAATAGTACAAAACTGGTTCTATGAATTTTTGTAATTAATGAAGATTTTTTTTGGTACTGAAAATTTTTTTATTTTTTTCACTTTAGATTTGTCTAGTCTTACCTCTTCTTTGTTAATAATATGTTCTAGATAGTGTATACTCGATTTAAATAGATTGTACTTGTCAATGTTTAACTTTAGTTCTGCTTCTTGTAATTTGTTTAAAATAAGCTAAGATGTTCTAAGTAGTTTTCAAATGTTCAGAAGTATATATTTATATCATCTAAATAAATAAATATGAACTTTCTTAGATATTCTCATAATATGATGGCTATTAGTCTTTGAAATATTTCTAATATGTTACAAAGGCTAAATAGCATTAGTTAAATTTATATAAGTCATATTTAGTAATAAAGACAGTTTTTTTTTTAACTTTATCATTTACTCTTAGTTGCTAGTATTCACTTATTAAATCTAATATAGAAAATTATACTACATTTTCTAAAGTATTAAAAAGATCTGTTATATAAAATAAAGAATATGAATCTCTTTTAGTTATCACATTTAACTTACAGTAATCTATGCAAAATCATAGCTTGCCATCTTTTTTTGGTTCTATTACTATTATTAAAACCCAAGAGCTATATAACTTTCTTATCAAATTTCTACTTTTTAATTTATTAATTTTAGATTTTATAAACTCATTCTTATTATAAGATATCCTGTGTAATCTTTGTTTTACTGCTGTCATGTTTTCTGTATTTATAACATACATAATAACACTTATTTTTCTTAGATTATCTATATTTTTAGTGAATAATGCCTTTTTCTTTATCAAGAATTCTTTTGCTTGATGTTATTGTTCTAGGGTCATCAAGTGATGTTTATAAATTCTTGAATTTTTTTATTACCAACTTTACTTCTGTTTTTTAAAAGGAGGCTCTTTTATATTAATAAGAAATAGTGCTAGATTTTTTTACTTTCTTTTTTTTGACCTAATTGCTGACTATCTACTTCTGACTATTTATTTATAAAATATCTGTCTATTTCCTTTAGGTTGTTCTTTTTATAGTCAAACTTATCAAATATATCACCTCTATTACTATTATATTTCTGTTTTTTATAACATAGTATAAGTGTTTTAATAACTATATTGAAGATTAGGATTTTTACTGCTTTTTTATTATTTGATATATATAACTTTTGACTTTAAATATAGTCAGATGTTGGCTTTTTGAAACCAATTAGTTCCTAATAATAGGGTTTCTTCTGAGGATTTTATTATTTGTAAGAAAATTGGTATTCTCATGTCTTGGATTGATATTTCAATATCTTTTATTTTATCCAGAGTTTTTACATATGCACTGGTCATCATTATTACTGTAATTATTGAATTATTATTAATTTTTAATATTAATTTATGCTATAATTTATTAGACATAATACTTACATTGCATCTGAGTCTAGAACTAAAGGTTGGAACTGGTTTTAAAAATTCAAGTTTGTCACATGAAAATTTAAGTTTATCACACCAAAATTCAAGTTTGTCACATAAATCATTAATAATTGATGTGATAAACTCGAATTTTGGTATAATAAACTCGAATTTTCATGTGATAAACTTGAGTTTTTAAAACTGGTTCCAACCTCTATCTAGAACTACTATTACCAGATTATTATGAATTCTTATATAGCATTGAGCTGCTGTGGTCCTTCATGTTGTCTCTGAATTTATGAAGTTTTTTTCATGTGGTAATAGTGGTCATTTTAATATACTAGCAAAGTTCTTTCTTTGGTTTAGATATTGTAATAATTGTCCTAAGGTTGCACTTACTAGTAATAATAATATGCTGTTTGTAATGTTACATAATTTGATATTATCTATTACTGATAGTTCTTTTTTTTTTTTAGACTTATTTATACCAATGGAGTTTTCTTTTATTATTTTTATTTTTTGATCTTCTTTTTCTTGTTGAGTATCAGGTAATTTTCTTTTTCTTAACCTTGTATCTCAATCTGGTTTATTAGAATGTTTCATTATCTTTTGCAACATTAACTTATTATTTATTGTAAATATCTTTTTTTTTACTTTACAATAGTTTATGCTTTTTGGTCTTTTGTATGATCTTTTGTATTCTTTTAGTTTTTTATTAAATACTTGAATTTTTTAGATAGATAGAATCTAGATATATATCCTAACTTGCTGTATCTATAGAATCTTTGGTCTTTCTTTTGGTTTTGCTAAGTGTTTCTTTTTTCATAATTTCTTTTCTTTATATTATTTTTCCTGCTAAGGTGACATAATTTATAATAATTTTATCAATTCTTCTTTTAAGGTCATTTAATTTACTATTTATCTTTTGAGATTGTTTTTATTTCTAATTGTTAGCCATAATAATCACCAGTTTTTATTTATCTAGTTGTTGTGATTGCTTAGTTCAGATTCTTTAATATGATTATAACTACAAAAATAATATTTTTAGTTTTTAACCTGCTCAAAAACATTCTTATCACATATATATTAGAGAGCAGTTGTGATGTTTACTATACTAAGTAGTCTTTTAAACTTAGTAGCATACATATTAATCTTTTTTAAGTCTTTTGGGTTAATATATAAGCTTTATCTGTTAATAATAATGTTTTTCCAATGAAATAAAGTATTTAATTAATAGATAGTAAAAATATAATTTATTTTATTCTCATCTTTGGTATTCCAACATTTAATTTCTTTTTTATTCACTTTTTATCAGTCAGCTGCTGTTTCCTAAGGTATCTCAGTGCAATCTTTAATCTATAATCTTTAGCCTAATTGTTGGCTTCAGATGTTTTCTTGAACTTGCTGAATTATTCAATTAGATCTTTGTAATTAGTATCATAGAAATTTTAATCTTTATATGATTACTTTCTCTTGATCCTAATCTTTCTTTAGAAATATTGATGAAAGAATTGGTAAGTAATTCCATCATTTCTTTAAACTGTTCAGTATTCATTTTCAATTAGTTATAAGTAAGGAGTATTTAATTGATGAAGGTTAGATCTCACAATTACCACCAAATGTTACAAGATAATTTGTACTAAATAAACAACAATTTGATAATTAGTACTTTTATTTTAATTTTAGTTAATATACTCTTTATTTTATTAGCCTTCTTACCAGGAGCATGATGTTGATGATTTGATTACCAATTCTATTAACTTTTAGATTTCTTGTGCATTATAACTGATTTTGATTACAACACTTTGGGTTAATATTTTACTTGAACCATGATATATCAGGTTTTGGACTAGACTGCAATATGTCAGGTCTGTCAACTAGATCAGTAAAACATTGAGCTGTACTAAGTTAAGTTCAGTATTTTGAACCTATACTTCTGTATTATTTGTCTAGTTATATTTTGTATAAAGTTTTACTGATTATTATTTTATTACTTACAAGAGATGGTAATTGCAATACGGTACAATACAGTAATCATAAACACCGGGTTCTCCTTTTATAACAATTGATGTTTTGAGACTAAGGGGTTTTATTAACTAAGGAGGTCTCTAATCTCTTTCTAACACGACCCCTCCCTCTTATTATTCTATCTGATGACACTTCTTATAATTATTTTCTCGTCACTACTCTCGTGTGATACTTAGGCTTAAACCTAATAACCGGAATTTTGTTGATAAACACGTAGGTATACCTATTTATGGTAATTTCCTTATTTATACTACTCGTGTTCTAAAAACCTAACATCGGTAAAATTGGGGCGTTTCTGGCGTAGCTCCGACCTTATTTCCAGGATAACCAATTTTCTCCGTAACACCATGTTACACGAAGTTGTAATTTAATAAATTATAGCCGTGTATAAACACTACTAAATAATTTATAATTTTATTGTGATTGTAATTTTTTTTCCTTGATATTGATACATAATATTTATGCATAGCCCAATTCCCAAATTAAATTTATTATAAAGTATAACATTATGTATAAAATTATGATCCAACCACTGACATTATAAATTCACTACATTCTGAAAATACTTTACGAACCACCTAATTCAATAGTCCTATCAGCTGCACCAATAATATAATCTGTTTTTACAATAAAAGTCAAATGTCCCCATTCTCCAGATTTGCCGCCCGCAATGATAATGCCATGTAGACTCACATAAGGTAAATCCCGTAAATAGAACGCAGGACCGCCACTATCGCCTTTAGCACCAATAAAAGTTGTAACAATCAAATCATCGGTAACATAATTAAGATGTAAAGAATAACCCTCGAACGATTTTGTGAATCCGCAAGTAACAAATGTAGTCGAACCAGATTTACATAAGTGAGCACCATGGGTTGATATAATTTCACTATCCCTTATAAATAGTTGTCTATATGGATCAGAATCTGTATTTCTTATCACTCTTGTCGGTTTGATATTTTTATTTCTTATTTCGATTAAGCCAAAATCAGTTTCTACCAAATCATGAAATATCATTGGGCCAATTGCATCTTCTTGTTTAAATGACAATCCATCACTTTCAGAAGAATTCAACGGCTTCACACAAAAAATATTATGAATAGGATTTGTATTATTGAAATTAATACAATGTCCTGCAGTTACAATATAATTATTTTGTTTTTCATCTATTACCCAAAAACCCGCTGTACATCTAGAATTTTTACCTATATTATATATAGCATCCCCATTTATTATTTGTCGACCTATATCACGCTTGGTGTCAGTCGAATTACGAGGTCGTTTTCTAGAAGGTTGTCCTTCCACGAGCACCTCGTAAAAACGTATAACAGGGTTATATTGTATGATAGAGTCTATAAACGGTTTATTACGTTCAACGATAGACGATCTATTACGTTCATCGATATTAAGAGGCATAAATAAGATAACGTCATTTTCTTCAATGTCAATGTACATAAATCCATCAATTGGACGATGTTGACGCGAATTTGCGACTATTTGCGTTGACGTGTTTTTTAAGGATGATAGAGAATTTTGTACTAGTTCAAATATTAATAACTCTCTATGCGTTTGTATATCAGGTGAATTTAATATAATATCCTTCTTTGTTTCATCTACTATCATGATAATTATTATATTCCTTTTTACATTAATATAAGTTCCACCGAAACTTTCTTCATTTTGTTCTAAAAATGGCTTCAAAAGTTCATCTACCATGCATAAGTTCTTCTCAATATTCAATAAATTAGGCACTTCACTTTCAGGTACATTCCATAATTTCGATAATGCTTCGTTCAAAGCATGAATCATAAAACATTTTTGTAGTATAATAATAAGAAATAATAAATTTATGATAAAATAAATATTTCTCATAATTACGTTGTTTTATAATGAAATCAATAAAGTAATTGTTAATAATAGAGGTAAGATTGTTGTCAATAATAAAAAACATGGCACTTGTAACGGTTTATTTAAACGTTTTTTTTATTAAAGGAACAATATATAATTAAACACTTTGACATGATCAATTTAGAATGATGAAAATTTTGGTCCTGATCTATTTATAACGATGAAAAATTTGTAATTACGATGAAAATTTATAATTACAATGAATAATTTGTAATTACGATGAAAAATTTATAATTACAACGAAAAATTTGTAATTACAATGAAAATATTTAAATTATTTGTCGATGCATAGGTCAGGATCGTAGTGAAACGAAATATCAAGAGTATAGTGAAACGAAGTGTGTGGTTAGATTTAAGTCTTCTGATTAGCAGTTTTATCCAGTGATTTTCATGACACAGCTCTTTGATATTTCACTCACTATTCATGTATATACCAGGTGTTTGATAAGTCCCTGTTTTCAATCACTAAAAAATTTCTAAATAAATTATTATTATATAAAAAAAATTATGCAAGAAAATCCCAGACTAAAGATCACTTCCGACCATATCCGGATCCAATAAAATCACAGGTTCTTGTATAATAAAAAAAAACGCGAAAAATATAAGAAATTGTAAATATCACAAAAATTTAATTTACTATGACAACTAACTTCTGACTTCTAAGTAAAAGTTTTCGGAATGAAACTGATCTAGTGATCTTATTGGCGACGATCTTTCAGATCTCACTGGTTTTAGTTGGTATAAATTTAAACTCAGATACGTCAATTTTTAATCGACTGAGTAATTTATGCAAAGATTCAATTTTTTTTATTTTATACGAGTAACTAATAGGAAAACATGCAAATCATTTCACTCAATGAGCGAAATGAGTTACAGGTTTTCCTTTTTCGTTACTCATACATGAAAGTTATGTTACACAAAAGAACATTTAATTACCGATCATACAATTTTTAACATAATTTTATGTTTTTTAAGAATTACCTAGGTCAATTTGGAATCGACCTAAATCGTAAAATCATTCGATTACTAATTAAAATACCAGAAACGGAGTGAAACGAAGTGCATGATTATATGGAGAGTGAAATCATGTGTACAAATACGGGCTTCTGATTGGATATGGTTCTAAATAGTATGATATCGTGATTTATATCTTGTTTATCTGGCACGTGTTATATATGTAGGCTTGTGGTGATTTTATATAAAAATTGCATCAAACTGATCGATTGTATAAAATATAATTAAGCCGAATTTGTATTCTTTATGCGTAAAAGTTTCTTATTATACCAGATACGAGCTTATTGCACTATTCTATAGTTATATAATTAGTTGATTTTCCTAATTTGCATCTCTATATATGTGTAGCTCTAATTTCTACAAGCAGTACGAATGCTAACTTATTATACGTACAAATATTA